GGGTGAGTCTCTAAAGGGTCCTGGAACACACTCTAGGACCCTTTGGAGGCTCACCCTGCCCCCCCCATTGGGCTAGAGGGGGCGAAATTGCCACCTTCTGAGGGCTCTTCTGAAGCTTCCCAAGCCTTAAAAGAGCCCCAGAAGGTGGCGATTTTGCCCCCTCTGGCCTTCGGGGGGGGGGCTGGGTGGGCCTCCAAAGGGTCCTAGGTTGCGTTCCATAAGACGGACCTCTCCATAAGGCTCACCAATTTTTAGGAGAAGAAAACAGATTTTTTTCCTGTTTTCTTCTCCTAAAAATTTGGTGCGTCTTATGGAGAGGTGCGTCTTATGGAGCGAAAAATACGGTTAGAAGCAAATACTTAATAGAGGGAGCTCTTCCATCCACTTTCTGAACTGGGGTAAAGCAGAGGATTCCACCTTTTTTTAAAGGGGGCTAGATGCTACCGCATGGAACTAGCCTGGATCAGTGAGGAGAAAAACCGGGTTATTTCCCACGCTCCTGTCTCAGTAAACTGCAAGGGGCGGCAATTAATTACGCTGCACTAATTGCAGCAAATACTTAATAGAGGGAGCTCTTCCATCCACTTTCTGAACTGGGGTAAAGCAGAGGATTCCACCTTTTTTTAAAGGGGGCTAGATGCTACCGCATGGAACTAGCCTGGATCAGTGAGGAGAAAAACCGGGTTATTTCCCACGCTCCTGTCTCAGTAAACTGCAAGGGGCGGCAATTAATTACGCTGCACTAATTGCACTCAATGGGAGGTGGGTGTCAGGAATAAGGGGAAAGCTGCCTGGGTGAATGGCTGGTTGATATGGGGGGCGTGCAGAAATCATCCGGTTTCGTGGCGCAAATGGTTGCAAAGGGCTTCACTTACTGTCGTTTGCATCTTCCCTCAGGAAAAGGAAGAGGTCACTGGCGGTTTACTGTGCAGCAGCAGCAGAAAAACCCAAAAGGGTTGCTCCAGCTTCCATTTCCCGCCAGCGGGCCTTGAACCCATCCTCTTTTGCACAAAAGGAAATGCCTCGGGAGACCGACCGCCAACCCTGGTCTTTCTGTCTTTCTCCCTCGCCGTCCACCCCTCTACCAGCACCCACTTTTCCACAACACCGCAAGATCTAGAGAGCACCTTCCACTAGTCTACAGAGACAGAAGGGCAGTTCCGTTTGCTGGCGAGCAAGTTTCCTGACCCCTTCTATGAGGAAGTGAGAGCTGCTGCCAGAAAAAAAATATGGAGGAATCTGGGTTGGGTGTATCTCTCTCTCTGTGTTGGTTTGGGAATCTTTTGGTTTGGTTTTATATATTTATACAGACACACATATTATTATAAATGTAAATGACAGAGTTTTGCTTACTGCCGTGCTGAGTGACTGGAGCCGGAGCTTCGGCTCACTCAGCAGTGACCCTAATGTGTTTTTTGGAGCAAAAATTAATATAAGACCCTGTCTTATTTTCAGGAAAACACGGTAGTACATTTGACAACTTGCTTAGGTTGGAAGTTACCCATGTTTTGAGGGAGGGAGAAAGTTTGATCTATTATCTAAACTTTGTTTTTTGAGATACAGTATCACCTGGAACTGTTTGCTTTGTATCAAAGGTGCTTTTTAAAATACATTTTTAGAAATAATGTCTTTGAAAGATGGATGGACCTGCCTAAGTAGCTGCCCTCTTATGTCTTCTAGCAAATGTTTTATGTAAACCAAGTTGTCAGCAAGTCAAATTAAGAATTTGTTCCATCAGAGTAGATCTTCCAACAAGGACAGTGGTGCCCCGCATGATGATGATAATCCATTCCAGGAAAATCGCTGTTAAGCTAAATCGTCGTCATGCCAAAAACAATTCCCCATTGGAATTCATTGAAACCCATTTAATGCGTTCCAATGGTGAAATTACCTCGTCGTCCATTTTCCAGGCGCCAATCAGCTGTTAAAATGGCTGCCCTGCGAAACATGGGTCCAGAAAAGACAAGGCAACCATTTTGCAGAGCTGGAAAAATTGTCGTTTTGCAAACAAACGGTTCGCGAAACAAGGATGTAATCGTCGTCAAATGAAAATCCCCCATAGGAAACAAAAGTCATCGTCATGCGATTTCGTTGCTCTGCGGGGTCGTCGTCATGCAGGGCACCAGTGTATCTAAATAGCCGAAATCTCCTATTATTAGAAAAGGACTAAGGTGTGCAAGGAGCAAAAGGATGCCCACCTGCATTCAACATCTCTTTCTTTGTTTAACAGATAAGCAAGTGGAAATGAGAATCAGAAAATCTCCTAACTGAACTCTCAAAAGGATGGACTGAAAGCCCAATTCAATCCTGCTCTTCCCTAGAAGACAAACACAGACTAAGAGACTTCCTCTTCAAGATAAACACAAACAAGGAGTTATTGTTGACTGAGAATACAGTGGAGCCTCACATAGCGACAATCTGTGCAGCAAAAATCGCTGCTAAGCGATTTCGTTGCTATGCAATTTTAAAAAGCCCATAGAAATGCATTAAAACCTGTTTAATGCGTTCCTATGGGCAAAAAACTGACCTTAAAGCGAAGATCCTCCATACGACAGCCATTTTTGGTGCATCTTAAGTGAGGAATCAGCACGAAAATACAGCGGGCAGCCATTTTTTAACCTGGCGGCCATTTTGGAACCGCCAATCAGCTGTTTAAAAATCATCGCTTTGCGATGATTGGTAAGCGAAACAGGGAACCGATCATCGCAAAGCAATAAAACCCCATAGGAAACATCGCAATGCAATCGCTTTTGCGATCGCAAAACGTTAATCGCTATGTGGTTTCATCGCTAAATGGAGCGCCCATTAAGCGAGGCACCACTGTATTAAGATAAGGACTCAAAATATTTTTCTGAATGATTACGTCAACATTTAGGTAAAAAGGGAGAGACAGGCTGAATTGAAAACATACCTTTCCTTGAGGCAAAATAAGAACTCTATATTTAAAATTAAAGAGAATATAAACCTGCATTTGACAAGTTTTCCCTTATATTCACAGTTTTATTCACATTTTTATCCTGCTCATTCCTCCAATCAATTTAGGGTGGCCTATGACTCTCCTAGCTTCATTTTCCCCAAGGAGTGGGCCAATAGCACTTAATGAAATGGATAGCTGGGTCAGGACTGGAACCAAGACATGGTTAAGGTGTACATGTGCGTGTCTGGGTGAAGAAGCAGAATTTGCTGTGGGGCGGTGATTTTGCAGAGGAAGTCACAAGATTAGATCACAAATTCCTATTTGTCATTAGTGGATAACGTATTTTTTTAAACCACTCTTCTCTTACTCTTTTTCTTTTAGCAGCATGTATTCTGAAAACTACTATTAAAAACACCTCCAGGACTCTCAAGACTTAAGCTTTGTACCTGAAACATTGACGGCTTTTGTAGAAGTCCCTTGAACTGTCATGGCTTGCATGGCACCAGGGTTCTGGTACATTGCTTTTGATGTACGTGAGATGGCACCAAATCTTGATATAGTTGGCCGATCTCCAAATGGAATAAGATCATCATCACTAGTTTCTGCTGCTCTCCTCTGCAAATCCAAACGCTGGTCTCGCATACCTTTGCTATCTATGTTCTGGGAACACATGTAAAAAGCATGGGAATCATAAACAAGCCCTTCCATCTTAGGAGACACTCCTCACAGTATGAATGAAATTCCCATTTCACAAGACATGGAGTTGGTGTTGAGATGTATTTCAAACAAGACACTTGTGTAACAATCTCACTTCAAATAGCCAAACCAGTCTTCCTGAACTTGGAGCCCTTCCTCTCATTTAGTATCAGACCCGGAGGTATTACGTGAAAAGGAGAACAATGAGGAATGGAACACAGCCGGAATAAATTGATTCCCCAATGCTGGTCCCACTGCATGACAGCTGAAATAAAGAGGTTACTTACCTGTAACCATAGTTCTTTGAGTGGTCCTCTGTGAATTCACAAATATGGGTATTGTCTGCAGCTGCGCTGACTCTCTCAGAAGATTCTAGAGCTAAAAGTAACAATTTTATGGTGTGATCCTCCACAAGGTATATGCTCCTCCCACCCACCATCTTCCCCAGTTCCTGAATTTTATCCACCGAGTATGAAGTAAAGAATTAATTAATTACATAATTAACCCGTGACAGGTAGAGTGGAAGGATGGGCTGGTTGTGTGAATTCACAGAGGACCACTCAAAGAACTATGATTACAGATAAGTAATCTCTTTTTCCTTTTCATGGCCTCTGTGAATGCACACATATGGGTGACTAGCAAGCTGCAATTATTGGTTGGTGGGTCGTCACGGTAAGAAGGATGACAGGACAGCTCTGCCAAATGCAGCATCTTGGCATGCTCTGACGTCCAGTAGGTAGTGTTTGACAAACGTGGATGGCGTGGACCATGTAGCAGCATGACAAATGTGCTGCGCTGAAAGGCAGTAGAGGTGGACAGTGCCCTGGTTGAATGAGCTGTCAAATGTTCTGGAGGGGATTTTCCCAACAAGTTGTAAGCAAGGGAAATAGTCTGTACAATCCAGCGTGCTATGGATTGAGAGGAAGCTGGGGCCCCTTTGTTTGGGCCGTGAAAGCAAAGAAAAAGTTTATTGGACTTTCTGAAAGCTTTTGTCCTTTCGACATAGAAGGCCAGGGCACGTCTGACATCAAGGTTATGGAGCATATGTTCCAGGGACGAGGAAGAAGATTTGAAGAAGCACGGTAATATAATGGGTTGTTTGAGGTGGAAGTCGGAGACCACCTTCGGGAGAAAGGAAACATCAAAATAAAGAATCACTTTATTGTGGTGAAACTGGATAAAGGGAGGGTCGGCTTGGAGAGCTGCGAGCTCGCTAGCTCGTTTGGCTGACGTAATTGCAACTAGGAAGGCCGATTTAAGGGTCAGGAATTTGAGGTCGATGGATGCCATGGGCTCGAATGGAGGCTGCATCAAGGCATTAAGAACCAGCTGCAGTGACCACTGGGGGGTGATACGTTGTTGACGGGGGCAGATGTTGTTGAGCCCCTTGAGGAATTTCTTGACAGTTGGGTGAGAAAACAACTTGGAGGAGGGGGAGTCATCCGGTTGATGGGCCATAATGGCTGATAGGTAGACCTTCAGCCCTGACTGGGAAAGACCAAAAATGAAGAGATGAAGAAGGTAAGTGAGTAGGGTCTTCAAAGAGACAGGTATAGCAGGCAAGTCACTGAGTATATTTCAGGAAGGACTTCCATTTGTTTTCATATAGGAGAGTAGTGGAAGGTTTGCAAGCTCGAAGGAGAATCTGCATCACATCAGGAGTATCCCCCAGGCTGCAGGATTGAGAGAGGCGACGTCGGGGTGAAAGACGAGGCTGTGGTCGAGCGAGAGGAGATCTGGGCGGAGAGGGAGGTGGAGCATGTCCGATGACATCGAGACCAGGTGAGTGAACCATGGCTGGCGGGGCCAGTACGGGGCTATCAGGATCGCGTTGGCCCCGTCTTGCCGGAGACGGGCAATTACGCTCTGGATGAGAGGTAGAGGAGGAAATATATAGAAGAGATCGTGAGACCAATCCATCAGGAATGCGTCTCCCAGAGAGATGCTGTCTCTTCCTGCTTTGGAGCAGAACCAGGCACAGTTCTTGCTGGCATCGGATGCAAAGGGCACACTTCTTGCTGGCATCGGGTGCAAAGAGGTCAAAGAGGTCCATCGCCGGCACAGCCACTGAAATATGACATTGTTCAAAGTCCATTCATCTGTTCTCGTTGGTAGCTGACTGAGCCGGTCGGCCAGGGTGCTGTCGTCGGTGGAAATGTGGACGGCAATAGGGAAAACATGGTTGGAATAGCACCACTCCCAGAGGTCGACAGCTAGAGTAGAGAAGGGGAGTGGGGGCCTCCTTGCTTGTTGACATAGAAGAGTGCAGTGGTGTTGTCTGTTGCCAACTGTACTACCTGCCCTTGGATCAGAGGAAGAAAAGCATGGAATGTTTTGACGACTGCCAACAGTTCTAGATGGTTTATATGAAGTGGCAGTTCTTGTTTTGACCAGAGTCCGTGGACTATGTGCTGAAGGCAGTGGGCACCCAGCCCGCGGTTGTGCCCTGTATTGAAGGTCGCAGAGGGGAGAAAGGTCTGCCGATGAGAAGGTTGTGTGGGCAAGTCCACCAGTCGAGCTGGGAGGCTAGCTCTGGTGTTACCGGCAGTAGAGAAGATGGGGGGGGGTCTGTCACTGGATTGAACAGGGAGAGAAACCATGCCTGCAGATACCTCATTTTGAGCCTGGTGTGTTGGACGACAGCCGTCGTCAATGCCATGAGACCTAGGAGGTGTTGGGCGTGATGCACCGAAACAGAGTGATGGGTTTGGAAAAGGCGGACAGCTTTTTGAATTTTTCTGATCCTTTCTGGAGGCAGAAACGCTCTTGCATGGAGGGAATCTACCTCCATGCCACTGAACTTTGCTGTTTGTTTTGGGATCAGGTGTGATTTCTCGAGGTTGATCTTGAGACTGAAACTTTGAAGGGTATGGAGAGTTGTGTCTCGCGCCTTTATGGCGTTGTAGTACAATGTTGCCACTATCAACCAGTCATCGATGTAGGGATAAATGTTTATTCCCTGCAGGCGGAGTGGAGGGAATCTACCTCCATGCCACTGAACTTTGCTGTTTGTTTTGGGATCAGGTGTGATTTCTCGAGGTTGATCTTGAGACTGAAACTTTGAAGGGTATGGAGAGTTGTGTCTCGCGCCTTTATGGCGTTGTAGTACAATGTTGCCACTATCAACCAGTCATCGATGTAGGGATAAATGTTTATTCCCTGCAGGCGGAGGAAGGTGGCTACTGGTGCCATGCACTTGGTGAAAGTCCGGGGGGTGGTACAGAGCCCGAATGGGAGGGCACAGAATTGGAAGGCGGTGCCGTTGAAGTGAAATCTGAGGAATTTTTGGTGGTCTGGGTGAATGGAGATATGGAAATAGGCATCCTGCAGGTCGATAATTATGAACCAGTCTCCCTGTGAAAGTAAAGGGATAATAGAGTCCAGTGTGAGCATGCGGAATTTACGGGGAGATATGAAACGGTTGAGATGAGTGAGGTCAAGGATGGGGCGGAGGCCTCCATCTTTCTTAGGAACTGTAAAATATTTTGAGTAAAACCCGTTGAGGGAGTCTGGAATAGGGACCGGTAAAATGGCGTGTTTCTGGAGAAGTTTGATAACCTCATTGTGCAGAGCACAGGAGTAGGGGGTGTACCGAATGAACCCCAAAGGAGACAAGTCGGAGAACTCTATAAGATAGCCAGATGCTATTATAGATAGATCCCATTTGTCTGATGTGATGGCTTGCCAGAGGTGGAAAAATGGGGCCAATTTGGTACAGTTCAATGGACGATGAAAAATGTCAGAAAGGGAAGGCAAAAGTGGTTGTCAATATTGCTTACCCTTTCGCTGTCCTTTACGAAAGGATTGACGTTGACGAGGAAGATTTTGAGGCTGGTACGATGCTGTCAGAGGTTGAGGAGCAGGTAGGGACCTGTCAGTTTGATGGGGGCGGTACTGCCTGTAAGGCTGGAACCTTTGACTCTGGTACTGGTTGGGGTGAAACTGTCCCCAGCGGTAAAAGGATCGTTGATAGGAGGTAGATGGCTGAGTAGAATAAGAGCGCACAGTCTTGCGCTTCTTATGGAAGTCCTCCATGGTGTCGTTGGTTGTTGAGCTGAACAGGCCGGCACCGTCAAAGGGCAAGTCCTCAATTCGTGGCTTGGTGTCATCAGAGATCGTGGAGGACTTGAGCCAGGCATGGCGCCAAATAGAAATCGAAGTAACCAAAGTCTTAGAAGCTGCCTCAGTGGAGTGTCGAGCCGCAATCCTCTGGTACTTGGCCAGAGAAATGGCTTGTGAATGGATGTTGATGAGATCAGATCTCATGGGTTCTGGGGCTGAATCAATCAGAGGGAGGACTTGGTTCCAAAGATGACGCTGAAAAGCACCCATGGTTGCCTGGTAGCTAATATTTCTGAGCAAAAAGGATTGCAGAGAGTGGACTCGTTTCACCAGTGTGTCAACTTTTCTGCCATCTTTATTGGCAAGGGTAGGTTTGGACCTGGCGTGGGCTCGAGCCTGGCTGGACTCGACGATGGTAAGAGTTAGGCACTGGATGCTTATTGGGGAACTCGGCATTGACATCATGGGTCCTATAGAGGCCATCAGTACGACGAGAGATTTGCATAATAGAAGGGTTTTTTCCCCAAGTGTCCTTAATAAATTGAAGGATAGACTTATTAAAGGGAAGACTCAAGGGAGTGGGACGCTCCTGGTTGATGTTGTCGAACACCAGGTCAGCATCAGCAGACGGGGGCTGTTCGGTGTCAAGGTGCAGGGCTTGTGCCATCTGATAGATAAGGGCAGAGCAGGAAGAGAAGTCGTCTGAGGAAGACGAAGCATGGCTATCGCTCGTATCTGGAAGAGGAGGGGGCAGCTCGGGCTCATGGGAGGACTCAGAGTGTTGTGCTTCCGAAGATGCAGGGGAGTCTGGAGATGAAGGGTAGTCTGACTGACCGATACCCTCTGGTGTCGTTGAGTCGGCAGGACCTCGAAAGTGTCTTGAGGTGGCATTGGGCCCAGCATCGAAGGTGCAGGACATGGGGGTAAGGCTTTACGAGCCTTGTCTCGCTTCTGTGAGGTCGGCTTAGACGGGGCAGAAGGGCGTGCAGATGAAGCCGAAACTGCTGGGGCAGAAGTGGACACACGGAGGCGGTTCGAGTCCATAAAGGGGGTGGCATGGGAGAGTTCCGGCATCATTCGAGGCCGTTTAGCCTGTTCAGATGGGTACCTTTCATATAGGGTTTGCCAGATGTAGGGGTCAAAGCACTGATACGGTACCATAGGGAAGGGGCAGAAATCGCCTTGCGATGCCACAGACCTCGGTGGAGAGAGGTGCTTTTGTTTTTCTGTTCTCTTCCGTGGAGGAGAAGGGGGGACCTCCGGATCGGATGCCGAGCTTTCAGCTGCCCGCCCTGAGTCAGGGTTGGAAGGGCCAAGGCCGGGCTGGACTGTGGCGCAGTTGCAATGAGGCCAATGCTCGGGGTTTGGAGTGGCATCATGGGGGGGCGCAACATCATGGGCTTCATCCCAGTCCGGGGCTAAATCAGGGGCTTCTCTGGATGATTCCTCGAGGACGGGGGAAGGTAGAGAAGGCTGAGGGGGCTCCACACAGGGAAGCCTGTCCTTCCTGAGCTTTTTAGAAGCGGGTATAGGTTTTCTCTTAGAGCCTGTATCGTGCGCTCGAGATTTTTCAGAGGAGGGCAATTTGTGCTTACCAGACAACTTTGTTTTCTCAACAGTGTCCTTAGCTGGTAGCACAGACGTAGAGTCAGAGGTAGACTGGCCCGCTGGAAGTCTATCAGCTGAGAGGGCAGGAGATCTAGAAGACTCTGAAGATGTAGTAGAAGGATTCATGACCATTTGCCAAAGACAAGACCTAAGTCTTTGGAGCCTCTGCTTAAGTGCCAGCTTGGTTAACTTTTTACAAGTGGGGCACGAATGGCTCGGATGTTCCTCGCCCAGGCAAAACAGGCACTGACTATGACCGTTGGAGAATGTGATTTTATTTGCACAAGTGGTACAGTGTTTGAAAGGAGATAGCGAGGCCATAAGCGGAGAACTAGTGTGTGTGTGTGTGTGGGGGGGGTAGGATAAGGGGAGGAAAGGGAAAGGAATAAAAACAGCGGGAAGCCGATTAGGCAAAACAAAAAGACACAGAGGATCACTAAGTAGTAAATACTGTAAAAGACAAAAGCTCTAAAGAGCCTAAAAAGAATAGCCAAAGGCAATAGCGAAGCGTTCTATCTTTCCTGAGAACCGTTCAGCTCGGTGGAAAAAAGGAACTGGGGAAGATGATGGGTAGGAGGAGCATATACCTCATGGAGGATCAAACCATAAACTTGTTACTTTCAGCTCTAGAATCTTCCGAGAGAGTCAGCGCAGGCGCAGACAATACCCATATGTGTGCATTCACAGAAGCCATGAAAAAGATCCTCCATTTTGCTTCATGCAAACAGAACACTGAAGGCAGCTCAGTGGCAAATACACACACCTGCTGGCTGGAAAGAGACAAACCAGAACAGTAACTCAAGCAGAGAGAGAGCAGGCAATCTCTTCTGAGAGTGGGTGGTTTAGACTTATAAAAGTCTTTAACTACACAAATTCCTCTACAGTATTCATGATACTCTAGCAGCATGAAGTTTTAAAACTATTACAATAAATTTCAACTCCATTCAGACAGCACGCCTCATAGTTTAGAAGCCAAGCACTGGTTTGAGCTTTCAGACATATGACAAACTGCATTTCAGAGATAGATATCTGTTTTCATCCTCTGCCCTCTCAGAATTCAGCTTCAGTCCCTCTTTCATGGTGCCTCTATGGGTGAAGTGATAGTTGGACTATTTGTTAATTCAGTTTTCACTCAGACATCAAAAGCCAAACAAAGATTTGCAAACAAATGTTTCTCAATCCAGATATTACATTAATCATAGCTAAACATATCTTATAATTTATAGCATGTTGTCTGAACTAAGTTCCCAACAGCTGGGAAAGAAATGACACCGAAAGCTGCATTTTAATGAGAGCAGAAATCCTTAAACCTCCTGTTACAAGGAACTATCCCAGAAACTTGGGATTCTCTGCATGGCCAACTTTACACATTGCCCTATCCCTCTTACCTAGCTATGCTGGCATAGCAAAACTAGCACGAACTTTTAGAGGCTCAGGCAAACTGCCCCAAGTTAGGAAATCAACATACACATCATTAGTTGCACGCTGAGTTGAATGATTCAGTGTGCAACTGATAATTATGGCAATTTCTTAACTGGGGGCAATTTGCTTTTAAAAGTTATGCTATCTGAATAGTTCTGCAAAAAGTTTTGGCCACTGCATCCTGCCCTTCTAACTGAAAATCCAAATCTAATTATTTACTGAGCCTTGTGGTGCAGTGGTTAAACTGCTGTACTGCAGCCAAAACTGTGCTCACAACCTGGGGTTCAATCCCAGGTAGACAGCTCAAGGCTGACTCAGCCTTCCATCCTTCCAAGGTTGGTAAAATGAGTACCCAGCTTGCTGGGGAGGGTGGAATGTGTAGCCTGCATAATTAACTTGTAAACCACCCAGACAGGGCTTTAAGCACTATGGGGTAGTATATAAGCAGAACACTTTACTTCGCTTTTTGGTTTTTAATACCCACAGAAAATTCTCTGTTTGGCACTAATATGACTTCTTTGTACACTTACCACCATCTCCACAAACCCCACTGCCACGATGTCTTTGGGTTTTGCATCTTTGGTTCCGATGTAGGAGCTGATGGTGTCACATGACCAAGGAGAGTACTGGCTATAATCATTTCCTTTGTATTTGCCAGCTACCTTCAGATCTTCATCCATATACTGCATAAAAACATAGTACAACTGTGTAAATGAAGGGAGAGGAGCCTGCTCTTGGCATTCAAAATTACTGCAACAACACTAAAACAAAAAGAATGCAAGCATAACAATGTGCATCTACTAAATGTGTGAATTCTTAACAAACTGGTACTGAAGACAAATACTGTGGTTTAAAAGTTCCCAGAGGCAATAATTCATTGTTCTCAGACTAAACTATGTATAAAACATAATTAAATATATAGCAGCACACAATCTACCTACAACCATTCCACTATTTTATGGAAATATGTAACATGGACATTACCACACGCATATATTTTAGGTCTGATAGGTAGACTCTGATATTCCACTGATATTCCATAACACAGAGATACTAGAACAATATATTTCTCTGTACCAGATATAATTTATTGCTCCAATATATCTAACACAGTTTATATTCTCTTGCGTCTGAATTATCAGTCCTCACTCCTTCATGTTTTGTAGGCACCTTTGGAATTTTGAGAAAGTATCATGAGGTCTATAGCAAAACATCTGTCATGGGAGGAGGTTGCTGTTTAACAAAGTGTACGTTAATCATTGTGCAACCAACTAAAAAACCCTAATGCATTTCCCAGAAAGAAAACCTGTTGAGGTTAAAAGAAACATCTCCTAGGAACCAAACTGCACGGCATGGGGGAGTCTGACTCCAAATACCCCTTGAATTTCAGAGTTCATTCCAGCAGACTATCATATCACAGAGCAGCAAGCTGTTCTTAATTCATTTTAGATGTCAATCATGCTGTGCACATACTATGCACATGTGTCACATATCTCTGCTTCATAAATGTTTTAAAGTGGAGCCTAAATGTAAACACTCCAACCTCCAGACTTGTAAATGACACTTTTCCAGCTCTACTCATCCTTTAGCCAGACCTTTTCTGATGACCCAACAAACACAAGAGAAATGTATGCATTGAAAATGGACCCAGAGGCTGATACCAAGTCTGAAAATGTGCTGAGAACTGCTGAGTCAACTTCCCATGCCTCCCTGGCGGGATCCCTTACCTAATTTACCAGGTCAGGATGGCAATGGTGTGAAAAGCAATGTGGGTCCAGCTATATATATATTTAATCCAAACACAGCAAATATAGGTGCTACATATGGCAACAGCAAATACAGGAGTTTCACTCAAGGCTGCTTCAGTGTTGGATGAAGCATCGGCATCTGCTATTACCATCATGTTCTTTCTCACCAATACCCCTGGTCCACTTTCAATACATACACTTCTCATTTGCTCGGTCATCAAAAAAGATAAAACCATTTTTTACAATCTCAGACTGGTCCCATTAGTCCCCTAGAATTCAGGACCATTTGGATACACCCTGCAAAACAGAAAAATGCAAGGGAGGGAGGATAGGGAGCAGCCTTTCTCTTAAGGGGCTACAGAACACCAATGGCCAGCTGTTAGCCCAGTGGAAGAAAAATAGCCCTTCCTGTGCTATTCTCAGGAACTCCTAACAGTTTCAGAAATGCTGCTTTATATACATGTTACACCCATATTGGATATCTTATAAGAAGACACATCAACTGGGCAAGCCAGGAAAATATCAGCTGTCCTGTAAAACATGGTGAAATGGAGTGAGATTATGGCAGAGCACTGTGTAAACAAAGTAACATAAAAACTTTAAAAATATATTCACCTCGTCTCCATGTAAAGAGTGAGGCAGAGTTGGTGATGGTGCAAAAGGGGGTGGTGAGATGACCTTCCTTTCTTCTAATTGTGCCATTATCTCCTTTCGTCTTCGGTGCAGTTCATCTAGGCTGGGATGAGGCTGAAGAGGAGGTCGGCTATAAGGCTCCTGAAAATTTACCAAGGTTTATAATTAAAATAATAATTTGAAAAAATGACTAATCTGCAGTTTACTACTGCTTACAGTTTACACCATAGGAAACTCCACCTTATTGTCTAAACCCACATAAATGAAGCATAGCAAGAGTAAGCATTAATATGTAGATGGTTTCATTATACTTCTATTGGAATTTTATATGAAAACTGAGTTAATGACGTTTTAATGGTTGAAATCCTGTCCTGTGAAGTTAAACTATGTAAGGCTAATT